CATACATACTTACCTACATACGTACATACATACATAGATACAGGTACACAGGCTTTTCTGTAAGCTCCATGCAGACAGGGGCTACATTATTCTTGCACACTCCCGGCACCTACAGAGCAGCTGGGCAGCTGGCTCTGTAGGTGTCAAATATTTATTGCATGGATGAAAAAAATGAATGAATAAGCACAAACACATAAAGAATTATAGCTCTAAAAGCAATACATGAAACTATATTTTAAAGTACTGATTAGAACAGATTATAGACAATAGGAATAAATAACTTTTATGGATTGATTTTCATGTATTAGCCATTATGTGTAGGGTTTCCATACTTTCACTGCATTCAGTCCTGTCTTGGGTTTTGCACAAAATTATAGGTTTATCCCCTTTCTGAGTTGGACCACAAGTCTTAACTGTTTTTAACCTCAGAAATTTTAGGACATCAAGAGTAGCTATTCAATGACCACTTGTGACTTTCAGAGTTAAAAGTACTACAGGAAGATAGTGGGGATCAATAAAGTCAGTAGTTCGTGTGTGTGTGTGTGTGTGTGTGTGTGTGTGTGTGTGTTTGCAGCAGTGGTGGTGGACCTGAGCTTGCCTTTTTTTACCTATCTGAGATTAGAAGCTTTTTGCAATTTTAAGCAAGCAAGCCGATGTGGTTGCCTCAACTTTTAGGCCATTTACTCAGGAAATTGATGAAGATATCCTGGTCATTTTTTAAATCTTTGGAGCTGAGAAAACAGAAATAGTTTTTGTTTCTTTTTTGTTTTAGCTGTTCGTATTTCTTTTCTTTTTTGTTGTTGTTCTATTACAGTTGTCCTAATTTCCCCCCTTTGCCCACCGCCTGCTCCCAGTCAATCTCCACTCTGTTGTCTATGCCCATAGGTCATTCGTACATGTTTTTTGACTAATCCCTTCTCCTTCTTTCCACCAGTATCCCCCTCCCCCTGCCCCTCCGGCCACTGTCAGTCTGTCCCATATTTCTGTGCCTCTGGTCCTATTTTGCTCATTAGTTTATTCTGTTCATTAGATCCCTCTTATAGGTGAGATCATATGGTATTTATCTTTAACTGACTAGCTTATTTCACTTGGCATCATATTCTCCAGTTCCACTATGCTGTCACAAAAGGTAGGAGTTCTTTCTTTCTGCTGTATACTATTCCATTGTGTAAATGTACTACAGTTTTGTGATCCACTCATTAATTGATGGACACTTTGGCTGTTTTCAGCACTTGGCTATTGTAAATAGCGCTACTGTGAACATAGAGGTGCATAGGTTCTTTCGAATTGGTGTTTCCGGATTCTTAGGGTATATTCCTCCCATCAGGAATCGCTGGGTCAAAAGGCAGTTCCATTTTTAGTTTTTTAAGGAAATTCCATACTGTTTTCCACAGTGGCCACACTGGTCTGCATTCCCACAAACAGTGCACTAGGGTTCCCTTTACTCCACATCCTCACTAGTACTTGTTTGTTGATTTATTATTGATGGCCATTCTGACAAGTGTGAGGTGAAATCTCATTGTGATTTTAATGTGCATCTCTCTGATGTTATAAAGCAGGGAGAAGTAGTTTTGATGATCAAATTTCCTAGAAGCATTCCTGGGGTTCAGACCCACTAGTCCTCGCTGAACAAAAGTTCACGTCTTGACATCTTTATAGACTCTGTGGGAAGAGAACATCCTTTCCCAAAAAGATTAAACAGAGATAGAAATAAGAAAAGCTGTAAAAAGACAACTTGTTCATTTTCTAGCCAACACAAAAGTTGTTTAGATGGAAGTGGTGACTCACCCTTGCTTAAGAAAGAATTAATTTTTGAATTGTCTGTAGTCTACATAAAAATGAAAGATTAATATAAAATAATAGAGGCTTCAGGCTCTCATTAACAACAGGAGGAATGCTGCCTCAAATGCTTTAATAATCCACATACAACAACCCTATGAGGCAAACACCACTGTCACCCCCCACTGGAGAGACAGATGAGATGGTAAAGAATTTCCTTGCCAAGGATCAAGCCAAGAGGTAAAACCAAGGTTCAAACTCAGTTTCTCTGATTCTAGAACCTGTGATTTTAAATACCATATGCTCCTTCCTCCTCACACTGATGCCAAACGAGGAAGAACCATTAGCTGAATTCACTTCTGTGAAGTCTTTCATGTTTCTCAAGTATGTATTCTATTCAGTTAGCCCTCTGTTTGGCCTTTCCTCTTTACATGAGACCTGGGCAGGAGTCTGGGGTGAGGACCAAGTTCTGCAGCACTGTCCAGCTGCCGTGTACCCCGATAACACCCTGAGCTCTCCACAGAAGAAAGAAAGCCTGAGCTTATCTCCCTTTAACTTTCCGTGTTTTGGGGCCCCAGCAATCAACCTCACCAAACTGCCATGTGCCCCGTAGCCTTCCAGTTGACAACTACCAACCCATTCACTATCTGTCACTGCCTGGCTTTGCCACTTACTGACTGTGACTTTGGATAAATTACTTAACCTCCCAAACCCTCATCTGCATAATAGAATGATAAGAGTGCTTACTTCGAGAGTTGTAAGAATTCAGGGAGATAATTTCTTTAAAACACGTATTAGTATATAAAATCACTCTTATTAGATTTTTATTATAAGAAAGTTTTTTTTTATTTCTTTCCCTATCTGCTCTAGTAAGAATATAGTAGACTAGAGAAAGCTCTTAAGGAATAGAATTGTGGCTTATTCATGAATCACTCCCCTCCCTCCAGAGTAGGAAGAACTGGCAAGATCTTTCCTGCAAGATTTCAGAATTATTATGAACTGATGACACAAGTGTGCTTCCTGCTCTTCCATTTTTGAAGTGAGAGTAACTACTGAAGTCATCCCACCCCTGTATCACCATCATATATTGATCTTGAATCAAAGATAAATTCTCCTTCTGTTTCATTGGAGTCTGGATTACAGGGAGCCTCATCTGACTCATATCCAGATTGGCACGTGATGCAAATAACAATATCCTGATCTTAACCCCAATATTATAATTAGATGAGAGTTTTGACGGCCTGGGATGAGGGTGAAGACCTGTGGGGGAGATGAATGTACGTGATCAGAAGACGCACTGTGTGGTAAGATATGAAATTAGCTGCAGTTTTCTTAGTCCTGCACCCATACCCCTTCGATGTACCTGCAAGTCCATTAAAAGGTACAAGCTACTTCTTAAATCCGAGTTGGCAGTAACTTGCTTTGCCTAATGAAACTTTAGTAAACTTGAAACAAGCAGAAGACTTAAAAATGCTTACACATTAGCAATGGCCCTCTTTTTCTGCTTTTAAAACTTGCAGCTGTTAGCATTTAAGGAAGCTCTGGGTGTTACCCTGAATAACAGCCCTACCAATTACCGTACATGTCAGGCCAGCCTCACTGTTAATTGCTAACTTCTGCGGTGAGTTTACCTTACACTTTGGAAGGTAAAACTGGGCATACATCATTTATTTCTTAGCACTTTACTGCATCTAAAAATAACACTTTCCCAAAGAGATAAGCCACGTCTGCCCTCCAACACAATCTTTGAGGTAATAAGAGCATGATTGGGCGATATTTTGGCCTCTCTCTGCCATATTCCTTTGTCTTACAACTCAGCTTGGTCACAGCCTGTAAGGTGAAGACAGTATGATTTGCTTGGTCTGTCATAGATACCAACAATGAAAATGATACTACTTTTTTTCTCTTCTACACGTGCGATTATACTTCAAGTTTATTTTGTCTCTGAAGGAACACAGCAAGACCGATGAATTTTTTTACATGCCTGACACTAGCATATATTTGTCTGCACAAAAATATTTATTGCTGTACAATGGCAGAAATCAAAGCAGAACCAGCCCCCCATGCCAATGTTTGCTTTGGCTTTTAGATGCCCCTTTGAAGATCTCAGCACACAGCAAACCTGCAATTCTGTTTCTGAGGAAAGATACTCACACTCTCTTACCTAAGAGCTCTGAAGGATTATTACCTTGCTCATTTTTTATTTTTTCCCATCTAGAACAACTCTGATTCAACAGGGCCACTGACCCTTGCCCTTTGGTTACAGTGACATATGTCACAGTCACTTCTCCTGTGGTCACGACTTACACAGATCACAAACAAAACGAAGACGAGAAAGGCAGGTGAAGAAAGTAGATTTGATCCACTATGGGCAGTGCAACATTCTGGGTGGATGGAAGATATTAAGCAGATGTCTCCATCTGAAGGCAACCACTCATCCTTCTTGATCCCTGCTGACCATCAGCGCCTGTAAGAGTGTCTAGTGAGTGATGTATATCTAATGCAGGACAAAAGAAAGGGAGGAGGAATCATTCACATGATTTGTGCTGGATCCTGGTTACATTTTAGAGTAGATTAGCAGTACCCTATCTTTTTCCTTGGAACAGAGATCTAACTGCAGATTTTCCCATGCCTGTGGTAAGCATTTAGCCAAAAGACAAATATAGCAACACATCAGTGATATTCAACAATGTAATAACTATCATAGCCAATGCTACAATTTTTTAAACTTCTCAGAAATTAGTTCCATTTTATGGAAAAAAAAGAATCAGGAATATTTCCCACGTATGTTTTCATTCACACACATGTAAATTGAAGGAAAAAATAAGTCATGACATTTTTGAGAAAACTCTAAGCTGGAGTTCACTGATCTCCACAGAGGTAATTCTCAGATATTTGAGAGCCATCCAGGGCTCAGAGCCCTTGTCCAGCTGGCCTCTTGCTTTGCTGGCTGTGCTAACCCTGTAGTTGATTGACCACATGCCCTAGGCTTTTCTTTTTTTGTTTTTCTTTTGTTTTGGGACTGAGATAAGAAAGTTGACTAGGGTCCCAGATATCTGTGGGGAAAAAAAAGACAAAAAAGGAGGAGCAGAGAGAAATGCGCAGGGGTGATTCCTGCTATAAAAGTCAAGACGCAACATGAGTTTGATCCCGGCAGAAGGCAATTGACAAGGTGGATCAAAAATTAACCTCCAGGGTTGCCAGGATATTCGCCTCCTGAGACACGTCTCTAAATGACATCAAAGACTTCTAGGAAGGATGTGTAAGTATTATCAAAAAACTGTAGGAGTCCTTTCTGTGTATTTGAACCTCATTTTTGTGAATGTTGACTAAAAACTTCCTCTACATACAGAGAACACTATAGGGTCCAGCAGAAGCAATGCCTGTTTGAGTATGGTTGGTAGGGTATTCATATGGGGGTGATAGTTTATAGCATTAATGTGAACATTTCACTAAAATGTCATGCAATGTACTTCAGTGTGATCTTGTTAATGTTACAGAATTGCATGCTTATGATTTGGTAATAAAAGATTTGGTAATAACAAAGGGGCATAATTTGTGCCAGACCTTGTATGAATATCAACCATATATCTTATTTTGGGGGGCCATAAGATGCACATAGGTTTTAGGGGAGGAAAATAGGAAAAAATTTTGAAGCAAAAAATGTGGTAAAATATTTAGTAACATAAATAATATTTTACCAATGTGAATGTAAACAGAACTCAACAGCATCATTAACAACCATTATTCCTCCCAAATTTGGGGGGGAGGTTGTGTCTTATAGTCTGAAAAATATTCTGAATTTAAAACTATAACTAGAATATTTCGGAAAGTACTTTTTAGCTCCTAGTGTTTTAAAATAACTCACTCTATCACAATTCAATTAAAAAAGTAGAAAATAGACTGTAACGACAATTAAATAGACATTATTTGGTTATTAAGATAGTATGAGTTTAATATTGGATTTGTTTTTTATTTTCCCAGAAGAGACCCTAAATATTCTAAGATTTTCTTAATTTTATTAGAAAAGGATTAGGGATATCCAATGAATTTCAAGTGTTTTAAGTATTTCCCAAATTATACATTTGATTAGCTTCATGACACTCTTTGACTGTCATACTTATATTTTCAGAGTAAAAAGGGCTGAGGAATCTCACAATGCAGGGTTTGCAGTGGGTTTGATGATCTCTAAGGTTCTTTCTTGCCTCAAAACTTCATGAATCTTAATTTTTTAAATGTGACAATGCAAAAAGTTCAATAAAATATCCTTCTCTAATGTTTGTTTTCAAAAGATTATTTTTCTCTAAAACTATAGCAGCTGAAGCCTCCAACTGTGATCAGTCAGTTCTGTACCCTTGTCTCGGGATCCGTCCAAATGTTCTTTCTGTGGGTGCTGGGCTTTGCAGCCTATGGAAGTGAGGCTTTGCACTGCAGTTGTGATCCCTACAAGAGGGAGATAAACCACTTCTGCTAAAACCAGTTCAGGCCAGTCACTCCACAGCAGGTTTTCCTGTGTGCCCACGGACCTTACTCTACACCAGATAAAATTTTCTTTTAAATGTAAGTTAATATCATAATAAGATAAAGAATACCTCATCAGATATTGTTTCTAGCATTATCACTATTTTGTAACTAGCTGTTTACTTCAGGTGAGTAAATTTGAGCTGGTTGAGAGTTGCTTCCAACTCCAACATTCTATTATCTATTTGTATTATCAGTATAATTATACTGCAGGCCTGTAGTTAGAAAATGGAGGTCAGGTAGCTACTAAAATAAAGTACTTCATCATTCTGAGTAATTTGTAGGTGATGATAGTAAAGTACGACTACATTTGCACAATTACTAAGATGTTTAAAGTTTTAAACATCTTATTAATTAAAAGAGATATGGTAAGCATTACTATCTTCATTATATTATTTTTATTTCTTCTAAGACATAAAACATGGGATTTTTAAGTTGGCTTCTCCTGAAAATCAGTGTTTTTGTAGAGCATTTTTGGTTATGCGTTGATATATAGCTATCAGATATATTAGATGTTTTTGACATACTTTAGGTGTTCTGGGCTTTACAACCAGTGGTTGTCCTGGTCCCTGGTGCTACTTTACACTTCATGTAAAAGCACCATCAAGAATGCCTTCTTCAAAAGGCCATCCCCACTGATTTACATCCCGTCTGCAGTGTTAAGAATTAGTCTAGAGGTGGTATTTTGGCTTCACATTCACCTCTTTGGCTTCCAAATCAAATCTCTCTACCTGTGTGATACCGGATCTATTGGGAAAAAAACTTACTATTATAAAATGCATGGGGCCAGAACACTTTGAGAAGACCAGTTTTCTCACTGCAATGTATACATTTACTGTAATTACAGTGATATTATGTGTTACTGAGGTTTTCGAGATCATATTTAGATTGTGCTTTCTAATTAAGCAGTGACCCCAAGGTTGATTCCCTACAGTCATGCCACAATTATTTAGCCATCATTTTAATCTATTTTTACCTCATTCAGTGAGTATCTAATCTCAAATATAAATATTTATTCTTTAAACTCAGTGGGTCTAAAATTTAGGTCTAATATAAAATATAATACTAGGTTCTAAGTCAGGGATTCTTAAACAAACATTTTATTCTATTTTAATTTTGTCACGCATTAGAAAATATACATAGAACTAATGTTAACATGTTTTAATAGTACTTTTACAGAGTTCTCTCATATACAATGATATGAGATCTTAACAGAGCATAGTATTGTGAGGCCAGAGACACTTTTATTATCCCTTTTATACAGAGTGGAAAACTGAGACTCAGGGAGGTTAATACATGGGCCCAAATTCATACAACCATATTAGAATCCAGACCTCATTCTAAAGCCATTTCCCTTTCCCCTGAACTATGTAGCTTAAACTCTGAGGATGCTAGTATATTTGCAGTCAAGTAAAGTGTAACTTATTTAAGCACAAATGTTGTTAAGTTAATTATCAAAAGAGTCATTGTATATTTGATCATTAACTTGGAGAAATGGAGCAATTACATTTTAATGTTATACTCTACTTGTTTTCTTAAAAATATAAGTATTAAATGATATGTTAATATAGTCTCCAAATAAATAAAAAAGTTATGAAAATATTGTGGGAGATTTTCTTGTTTCTTGTTGCAAAACTAAAACCTCTGTGCTCATAGGTATAACTATCACTTCTATACTCAAGATTATTGAAGTGGAAAATTATATTTACAATAAGTTAGACTTTCTAAATAGCCATGAAATTATTTCAAAGGCAATTTTATATCAATTTAATACACTTCTTTTTATCTGCTTACATTACTAAGAATCATCCTTATTTGAAGTCATATAAGAACTTTATGAATGACAGCCTCATACTGGTACCTTATTAGAGAAATGAGTAGAGTCAGTCAAATACTGAGGTTTTCAGTCTTTTTCTCAGTATTATTCAGCTTCTGTTTGTTGTTGTTAATTTTTAGTTCTAAGGTGTTTAAATTAGTGAGGGTTTCTCCACATGAGTACACAGGAGAAAAATCAAACTTACTTCCTTTGAAACAGTATGGATCTATACAGGATAGGTATGTTGATTACAGGAACACAAGAGAGATCAGAAATAGTTCTACAAATATATAGTTGTGTTTTTTTTAATTTACCAACATAATTCAGTGGTGCTGAAAAAAACGATGTTCATAAAAAATAAACTGTAATTTTCAGCTCCGGACCTGCCCCAGCCATGGACATGTCAATAGGCCTGGCCAGGCCATCAAGGTCTTCCCTTTAGGTCTTCTCTTTCAGTCTTCTGCAGAACTTTTTAAGGAAAAACTATCTCTATTTTAGGGCTTGCTAAACTAATAGATGTGAGCCCCAAGATACTGGAACCCAAGTTTCTGCCCTACACAAAGTACCCAAAGGATACAACAATAGGTATGTACTACCTGTGGTACACTGTTTTAGCCCACCATTCACCACCAAAATAGCTGTGACCACATTAAGAACAGAAAATTCCACTGCGGGATGATCACACGTACACTGGAGGCCAGGGAGTGGAGGGAAACAGTTAGCTTTTTCCATCAAAACATTTGTCAGTCTGGTCTCTCTCCCTTTTATTTTTTCCCTGGTTACCCCCAAACCCTATCTCTGCCTTTCCCTCACTGGCCAAGATTCCATCTGTATCCTGAAGGGTCATGTTAGATTTTTCAACAATTAATTGGAGCTGGATGGAGGAGAGTGTAGGTCTTCCTTCAGAGTAAAGCATCATAGTAACTTCTTCATTGTAAAACATCAACAAGGTAAACTAACTTAATGTTGATTTGTAGCACAATCTCAATGCACTGTTATGCTCACAATATCTCTGTTACTTTTTCCCGTCATATCAATTATCCCCTGCTGACAGGAGTACTGTGCTTAGGAAAAAAAGAACTGTGTTAGCAGGTGGAGAAATATATAATTCTAGTGATTGCAACTAATTGGATATTTTGCCCTTCACTCCTAGAATGTATGCAACTGAGAAAGGGACCTTGGGCAACCTCTATTCCTAAAGGGAGAAGTTAAGAAAATAACAAAAAGGTGCAGCTCTCCCGGAAAGAAAGAATGGTGTTTTTGTTTAGTTTTGTTTTGTTTCAGACAAAGTATGATGCAGTGGAGCAAAGACAAAACATAAGAAGAATATATTGGTCTAGAGAGCCATTAAAGTCAAGTAGTAGTGGTTAGGTTGGCATGACAAGCTCTGAAATGAAAGAACATGGATTTTAATGTTGAACACTCATACTTACTGGCTGTGGCCTGGTACAAGTCACATAAATTCTATTTCTCATTTTTCCCATCTGCAAAATAATGAAAATGATAATACTAATTTCTTCATAGGGTTGTAATAAAGATTAAACAAGTCGATATAAAGAACCTAGAAAAATGCATGATACATAATAGATGCTCAATAAATGCTGGCTAGTTATTATTACTTTTTTTTGTGGCAGAGGCAAGGTGAAACAATTCCTATTTGGTGACCTTGATTTCCATAGCAGTGAGTACAGCCTTTAATTAAGGCAATTAGGGCAGAGGGTCTAGCTTGAAAAAGAGTTGCGAAGGCTTAAAGAATCCGGTGCATACAGTGATTCATTAGGGCACTTTTCCTTAACCCTAGATATGCCATTAAAATTTCTTGGAGACATTTTCAAAATACTAATATTTAGGATCCAACCCAGATCATTGAATTTGAATGTCTGGTAGTGGGACCTAGATGTGACTTTTGTTAAAAAACTTTTGAGATGATCTTTAAGGACAACTGCAGTTGAGAATCTGGAAGTGACACAAGAGAATAAATAAGAACAGAGAAAAGAGACTTATGATTATGCCACTCTGCTTTGCTTCATTAACTTTTCTACCAACTCAGCAACTTCTGACCAGAAAGTCAGGATAGTGGTCGTAAAAGAAAGAAATCATAATGCCTTTGCTCGTTCAGGCTGCTGTAACAGAATGCCACAGACTGGATAGCTCATAAAGAACAGAAATGTATCACCCCCCAAAAGTCCCACCTCCTGATGTGATCACATGGGGCGTTAGGTTTCTACATATGAATTTGGTAGTTGGGGGCACAAATATTCCCTTAGTAGCAAATACATCCTCAAGTGGTGGTAAACATGTTGCTGAAATTGGGGAGAATACAGAACTCAGTTTCTTGCTGGGTGAAAAAACAAAAGGTCCCAGAGTAAGGTGGTGGACTTTGCAAACAAAAATAGACAAAGGACATGAAGTGGGGATAACACGAGGACATAAAGCAGCTCCTTCAGGGGTTGGGACAGTTTAGTGTTGATTAGAGAACTGTAAACAGAGGAAAAGTTCAGAGCTTGAGATCTTGTTTCTTGAAAATGATGTCATCGCAATGTAAATCATTTTAAGATGAATTCTCAAAATGTGGGCTAAAACAAAATAAAGAAGTAATAAAGGCTATTCATGGAGGTAAATAAAGTGAAAGGTAATAGTATGGGATACAGAAGAAAGAAAAAGTATTGAAGTCATTGATGCTAGAAGGAAAAATTGATGCCTACAATGTTATTAGTCAGCAGCATTGAGCAAGAAGTATACCTGGGCACCTTCTCTGTACAATGGCAAGATAATGGGTGAACAAACACACTGCAAAACTGTTCATCATTTTGCAAAAGTACATGATTTACAGGATATGTATTCACTAAAGAATACACTGTCCAATTAGGAACGAAATTTTCAAGTTGAAAATAATTGGTTACTTTATCCAAAGTGTCAATATAAAAAAGTAATTAAAAATTTAAGCACATCATCTCTCATGCAAGAACTGAATGTACAGTTTCTGAGATTAGAAAAGTTTCTGATAGACGCTGTTAATATATCTGAGGAATTGGAAGCAACAATTCTTGAATGATGCCGAGGGCAATTCACGACTTTATCCTATCTGCCAATCAACAATCATTAAGTTATTTTTGTTTTTTCCTTTCTATCCTTCCTTTAGCCACAAAGGTGGCTCAAGGTGAGGGCCACAGTGATCAATCACAAAAACAAAAAACAAAGCTTCCCTCCTTCCCACCAGCAGAGAGCGCTAGTATCTCTCAGTCTTTAACCACCAGGAACCAAGAATACTGAGATTGTTCCTGCTGGGAATCCGTAGTTGACTTGCCGTTGCGGAGCAACAAAATAATGGGTGGGGTTTGTCTCGCGCCCTTTTGGACGGGAGCTCCCCACGGAAGCGGAAGTGCGGGTGGCGCGCGAGTAGGAAGTGGTGAGTCGAAGCGGAGATGGCTGCGCTTGCCTCGCTGCCTCCGCTGCCCCCCCAATTTAAGACCATACAGCATCATCTGAGGACGGCTCAGGAGCATGACAAGCGGGACCCTGTTGTGGCCTATTACTGTGAGTGTTTCCGAGTTGCCGCGGCCTCCCTTACCTGCCGGGGCCCACCCACCCACCACGCTGGTTCTCGGAGCAGGCCCCGCCCCCTGGCTTTATCCTGAGCTCTGACCTCTGCCCCGCCCTTCTTAGAGGTCCCGACCTGCTCTCAGCTCCGTCTCAGATCCCAGAAAAGCAAAACTCCAAAAGCAGCGTGGTGTCCACCACCTCTCTTGTCTTGGGCTTAAATATCCCTAAACAAAGTACATAGTGTTAAGAGCACTGAAACACAATGACCTAAGGTGTTTTCATTTTTTCTTTCTATGTATACACGAAAGAGCTTGTCTCCACCAGGAAAACCTAAAAATAACATGGGTAGTTCGTTGAGTAATTGAGTTGGATCATCGAAAGTGAATGTCCCAAAGACAGTAGTGATGTGGACAAAAGGACGACAGACTGATTTTGCGAACATAGTAATATGGGCACGTTAATTGTGACAAATGCAAGCTAATTCAAAAATTTATAAGCGGTAAAATGGAGAGTATCCGCTACGGAACAAACATCTGAATTTGACCTTTCCTACCTCCGCATCCAAAAAGCCCACCTACCAGTGAGAATTTTTAATTTTACTACCTGGGTTGAGACATTTGGTGGCAATATTCTCACTTTGATTGATTTGGATAGTTATAATCTACAGTTGATGGAAAACACGGATTAAATTTGTTCAAACTTTTTTCCTTTTGTAGATAAGAGAGTAGTTCCAGTAGTGTTATGTCAACTTTATTGTATATTCTGTACTTGAACTTTACTGCAAATAAGTAACCAGCAACTATAAATCTTTTGAAGGGAATTTTAGAGAGAGTTAAGCTTAATGTGTCCTCAGTTATTACAAGATTAGCTAAACTCTAATCCACTGTCACCCCTGCAGTATTCCAGGCGTCCCATCTTTATTTCTCACATGTGCAAGGCCCTTTCAAACCTCCATGTTCTTCAACTTTGTGGAATGTCTTCCTTTTTTTCTCCGCTTGTCAAATTCATTCTGATCAAAGTTCTAACTCAAATGTCACCCCTTCTGTAATCAGTAATCTGTAGTCAGTAAATTGAATACTCTCTAGGCTTTACCTCATTTTGTTCAAATCTTACATCATTGTTTCTATTGTACTTGTTGTTCAGGTTCCTCAAGCAGGGGGCATTAGTCATTCAGAGTGTATTTATTGAGCCTCTACCTGCAGTTCCTGCATTCATGGCGAGTATATACAATGGGGTTGGGAGATTAAATAATAAAACGAGTCAATCATATAGGATATAAGAAAGTTATGGAGAAAAATAAAGCACAGAAAGAAACTAGGGAGTACCAGTAGCAGGGTGGCAGGGAGTGAGGAAGAATTTCACTTTCAGAGTGGTCTGGTAACCGCTTTACTGAGTTCATATCTGAGCAAAGACTTGAAGGAAAGGAAAAGTAGGCTTTGCTTCATCTGGGAAAGACTATTAGCTTTTCTCCATAGAGGGAATAATAAGTTCAAAAGTCCTGAGGCAGGGACTGCTTGAAGGAGGATCAAGGAAGCCATTGTAACTGCAGTGGTTAGAGCAAGGAGAAAAAAGAAATGATGTGGACAAAGAGGTAGTCTCTTATAACAATGTAATAGGAACTACCGTTCCTGCCTAATCTCTATTCATGGGCTCTGTGTTGTCTACTTCTGTGACCACCCTGGGACCCTTGATTTCCTGCGTCATTGTCCTCTCCCTCTCGCCATTTCTTTCTAAACTTATCCCATTTTCCTTTATTTAAAAAGTAAAAATAAATAAATAAATAAATAAAAGCTCTCATGACATTCCCCTGAAATTGCTGTCCTGTCTGCCCAACTCAGAGATTAGTTTGAAATAGCTGTCTGTAGTTGTTTTTATATCCTTATCTCATAGAATCTTTTCAGCCCTTTGAAGTCTGGTTTCCATGCCCATTATTTCAGTGAAACAGCTCTCAGCAGGGTCATGAATGAACATTTTTATTGCTAAATCCAGCTGGCACTTAAAAAATATTTTGTTATGAGAGATACGCATATTAAAGAACATATATAATGAGTATATACAGCCTATAATAAAATGAACATTAGTGTGCCCACCATGTTTGATGTTATTGGACTTTAATTTTTGCCAATCTGGTGGGCATGAAACAGTGTCTCATTGGAGCAAAATTTGCAATTCATTGAGTCTTAATGAGACTGAGCATCTTTTCATATGTTAATCAACCATTTGTGATTCCCTACTGAAATTTGAAATACTGTTTATTGCTTTTGACCATTCTTCTACTTCACCATTTTTCTTAATAATCTGAAGACTATTCCTTTGTTGTATACATTGCAAATGTCTTCTCTGTGATCCTAGGTCAGCTTTTCACTCTATGAATCCTTTTGTGTTCAGAATTCTTTAAAATATAACCAGTTTATCAAGCTCTTCCTTATGATTTGTCTTCTCATTTTCTAGTCTTTGATTTCCTTCTGTGTAAGTAATGCCTTGTTTGGACTCGGACATATTGCTCTTCCTCCGTTATCTCTATTCTCCACTGAAATTTTGATTAGACGGTGTTGTGCTCTTCTCCTTTATTTCTTTGTCTCTTAGTGCTTTTATAGTTTCCATCCCTGTGTCTCTCTGAGCTACATTTGATGTGATTTCTTTAGGTCTATGTTCATCTCCATGTAGGTGTCCTATTATATAGCCCATTTATCTAGTTTCTACCTTAATGTTTTACTTCTAGATGTTCAATTATTTTTCTTTTGAAATTGGCCTAGCCATTTCTGATAGTCTTCTGTTACTATATTTCTTTAAATGCTTTACATACATTTATATTCACGTGTGCAGTCTGATAATTCCTATAGCTGCTGTGTTTGTGACTATGAACCTGCTGTAGAACAGAAGGGTGCTCATGGCGACCTCTCTCTTTGCGACTCGTGTTCTAGGCATACTAAACCAGGGAGCTCCGAACTTCTGCATGCAAACACCTCTACAGGAATCGTTTTCCCAATTCTCAGCTTCTGTGTTTGTTTCCTGACGGGGCTCCTTGGGTCACAGTAGCCAAGTAGTGTGCTGCTTCTCTTCCCATATCCTGTTTGCAGTTGCCCTTCTCCTAGTTTACAGAAGAAGGGCGTACTCTTATGCATCGTGAGTATCTGTACAGGTGTATTACCCTGGAGAAGAAGGTAGAAGACCTCCTGGGTTCAGACAAACAGGACAGTTCAAATTACTAGTATTAGTGAAGCCTCCATTAATTAAGGCTCTAGGTAGAGCTTCCTGTCTTTCCCTGTGTTGTATGAAGAAAATCAGAGCAAAGGAGAATAAGCCTTTGTTCAAAATGCTGGGCCTGAGAAAGGATGTCAAAGGAACATTCTAATTAGGGAGAAGAAGGTGGTGTGTTTTTATAAGGGGGGTGGGGAAGTCACCTGGAGTTTGGCTCCTTTCAGGAATAGTCAGGAATGAATCTCAGAAGACAGAATCTCAGAAGACAGAGGAGTTGTTCTTTGAGATTAGTAGCTATTATTTGATCATTTTAGTTTTATCGAGAGGGATGAAGGGAGACAGTTTGGGACCAGGGTCATGTGAAGGGTGTCCCCGATTAGCTTTGGGGATAAAGACAGGGAAGGACACAAAGGAAAATTATTTGTTCAAGTCTCTTACACTCAGGCATGTATATGTTCAGGGTTAAAAAAGAAAGAAAGAAAAAAATCACCAGCATTGTAGTGTGCTGAATTCCCAAAATGCTGGGAGTTTGTATGAAATGACCTCACCTTTTAATTCTCTCTTCATTATTAAAGAATGTCATTTTTGAGATAAGAGAAAAAAATGACAAAAGAGAAATGCTTAAGGGGCCAGTGCCTTTTCCCATCCAAGTGACAAGCTCATGTGAGGCTCTGGCTTATTGAAATTTTAGTATTAGAATTCAGTTGACAGGAGGCATGAGGGACATGGCTCGAGGTATTTATTCGAGTTGGAAAATTAAGCCATATTTTTCTGACTGATTGGTTTGGCATTAACAACAGTTTTTGCCATTTATGTAATAAGGTAGACATTCTCCATAAACTAAATGAGTGTACTCTTGACGTGTTTTTGGTTTTTTTTTTCCACAAATACATTTAAAACAAGTGATAAGATCAGTTGTTTGTTTGTTTGTTTATTTATTTATTTATTTATTTGCCAGAAGATGTTGAAATGAACAGCATTTCAGTTTTCCCAGTCCTGACTTAGTTTCTAGGATAAACAGGAAGCCTCTGACTGAAAGGAAAAAAAAAAGAGGACTCTTTGTAGGATTTTTTTTTATATGCATCACCGGAACTGATGGGGCGACAGATTCTTTTCTAGTTTTAAAATAAATTTTGAGGGAGACCTAACTGAGTTGTCAGTCTAGGTATTAAATGATTGGTGGTTACATGGTTTTTAGCCTATAGCCCAGAAGGAATTAAAAGAATTCGGTGATTTTTGCTTTGACAGAACTTTCATGCTCATCCGCTACTTTATGAGAATGAATTTTCTTAATGTTACTTTCATAAAGTGGAAATAGAACCAAACTCTATTATGGTTCATTATGACAAATCATTTCCATTCATAGATATGCCATTCAGCTCATTATAAGATGCTTTACTGTATAATTAATGATTATTGAAATGATGATTGAAAACTGATTATCTCAAGGCTTGCATCCTAGTGGGTGCTTTTTACTTTTTGTGCCAGGTCGTGCCACCCCACTTGAGAGATTTTCACAAATAAAAAACAGGAACTTAAGAAATGTTTGTTAAAGTGACCTGAATTTTAAGACAACAGTGGTCCCTAGGGAACTAATGGCCATGTGGTTGTTAGTAATAACCCCTCCCCACGCATACAACATTTATGTAGCTCTTAGCAGTTCCAAGGATGCTTTCCTTTAGGATGTCTGATTTGCACCTCAAGATCTTCCTGGCCATTCTCTCAGTAAGTGAAGGACCAGGACCTGAATGACAGATGCAGGATGAGAAATGGTTATATGGGAACCTGTCCAT